TTCCAGGGGAGAGGCTGGGGTCAGGATTGATGGAGCTGTCAATCGTGGCTGTCCAGCACACAGGGGAGGTGGTGGCAGCACAAGAAGTCAAGTAGAGGCTCTAAATTAAAGCACAAATAGTGGTCTCTCAACAACTCAGTAAAATTAGCAGCGAAGTGATTCGGAGTCAAAGGCCCGCTCTCCATGGCTTGTTCTGGCCGGATCTGAAAACCACCATTGCTCAGTCTCCATCCCAGAGCTGCAAAATTGAGGCCCCAATATAAACAATAAATAAAACATCCCCTCTCAGGACTAGACTACACTAGGACCCGGGCTTTTGCTTTTGTGGTGCTTCCCGACTACTGAAGCTCTGCTTTTCTCGAGGTGTGGCTCGCCCTCTGGGACTCCGGCTCCAAAAGTGGCTCAGCCCGAGGCTCAGCTGTGTCAGCTGGGTTTTCCGTTCTGGGCTTGCCGACAAAGGAATTTGGCTCTAAAGACGGGGGCTTGGCTGCTGCTTCCAGAAAATTGCTGTCTAAAACAGACTCCATGCTGCTGCTTCGGCATGACTCCACTTCGATTCCGGTTTCGGGTTCGCGAGTCGTCAACCCAAAACCGTCGAAGCAGACGCATAGTCTGATCTAAAGGCCAAAATCTAATGGAAGACTGTAAATAGACAAAAGGGCTTGCTTTAGAGCCTGCTGCTTCGATGCTGCTGCTTCGACAGTTCACAGTTCGCGAGTCGCAAACCGCAAACGCGCCAAGCAGCCACGTCACACGAAGCAGACGCATCGCCCCAACCAGTTCTCTTTAGATCCCAGGAGAGGAATGGACGTGTGGTTAAAGGCGAAGATAGAAGAAGTGAGGAGACCGGCCGGGGGGGAATTCCGGATTTTCTGTTCTAAAGGACGACCAATGCTGCTGCTTCGTCTGATGCTGCTACTTCAAGCAGACGCCTGCTGCTTCGAAACCACACCTGTTCTAAAGGACAGAAGACCTGGACGAGAAGCGACGCCTGCAAGAGAGGTTCCGAAAGTTCGTGGACATTGCAGACGGCAAGATTGAGAAGCAAGAGAAAGTTTCAGAGCGGCTGGGTGTCGTGAAAGCTGAGACTTGGGAGGCCTCCCGCTCCAGTCAACCCGTGTCTTCTGACTTTTGATATTGAATCCCGCATCCGACGTATAACTAACTAATAATTGTTTAGAGACCGAAGCAAGCTCTCCCCATGGATGCAGGCTCAGCTGGATGATGCCCGCAAAGCAGCTGCACTTGTGGGCTTGGTCATAAGGCCACGGCAATTCGCCTCGCGGGTTGCACTGGGTGATGAGGAAGGGGATCTGGAGGAGTCTGCATCCGCTGCCGCCTCTTCTTCGGAACGCCGTCTTGGCTCGTCTCCTTTGTCTGCCAGCAAGACATATTACATGACTGGTCGGGCCGGCATGAAATGTGTCTTGCAGCTCCACGATGCTTCTGGGCTGCCTTGTGTCTTTAGCCAGCAATCGCAGGCACAAGCATCATAGATTGCCAAAGCTTTAAATTTATTATGGAGCCTCAACCAGGTTCCGAGCTTGATGACCCGCACATGTGGGTACAAACTTCTTCTTCGAACCGAAGAAGTGTGGAAGGTGCTGGCCCGCAACACCACGTACCCCAACTGGTACTCCCGCTTGAGTCTAGGCACCAAATGCTGGTGAAATCTTGCCTAGTGTCTCGATAAGACGCACTCACGTATGTCATGCTTCCGATCCAAGCTGGGCTCCAAGGAACGAGGGCATCACGCAGGAGATTAGCCGAGACTGGAGCATCGACTATACGTGCCATCTTGTGCGGCCGTGCAGCTACAAGGGCCCGACAAAAGCAGCCGAGGCCGGCAGCAGTCTTCAGCTTCGATCTTGCAAGCCAGAATTGCAGCAGTCCACCTTGCGAGCTTTCGAGCTCGTCGTGCACACGTTTTGCCCGGCGAGCATGTCTGGGCAACTTTTGCCAAATATACCGGCTAGTGCCTTGGCCACACAAAGCCGTGCCGCACACGACAATTTCCCCAAGTCTGCCTATGCTTCTAATTAAGACATAATCCAAGGTGAGCTTCGCATTGAGGGTCACGAGGTTGTGAACTGGAGCCGGTTGCTCGACTTCTTCGGGCTCCGCTCGAGGCTGGTGCTGCATGCAGTCTCTGAACCAATCAGCCTGAGCTGCTGCTTTTCAGGTGGCAGAAGTGCAAGCTCCTTCCCGCAGCACAACAGAAACTGCAGATGGGTAGCTTGGTTCTGTCAGTAACGTGCTCAGGAAGTAGTCAATGAGAGGGTGAGTCCGAGTCTGACTTGCTGACATGAGCAGAGGAATCAAAGCAGCCACCGCAGTGTGGTTCATCTTGCGAATTCCTCGAGACGAGCTGCTTTGCCAGGAGCATCGGTCTTGCGTTGTGGCATGTATTGGAAGACTCAGTTATAGTCACTCTCGGCTCTGTCTGCTCTAGTCTATATAGAGAGTACCAGATTCAGATATGACGCAGGGTCATGTCGCTGCTGGACGAGTCCAGAAACGGCTGATTCATTGCTTCTGCCAAAAGGCAGAGGTGCATGCTGCTGACAGCATGCAAGAGAGCATTCCCCATCCCGAAGCGGACCACGAGATTCACCCCATGAAGAAGAAACCTAGTGGCATTGAAGTTGTTTTCTGCGATCAACCTCGCACTGCTTGGTTGCCTCAGATTTTAGTCGCTCCCTTCCGCAGCCCAGGGACGGCCGAGCACTCCGGGGCGAGAGCAAGCCCCAGAAAATCTTCGCTCTCCAACGATTCCTGGCCAAGTCCGCCGGCTTCATGAATAGATCGGACGACAACACGCTTGAGCAGTTGGGCCTGTCCGACATCCTCGTTTCGCATTCTCACAGGACCGGCTGCCTGTCCTGAGGGCAAACCCGGTGCTTCTGAAATTTTGCTACTGCTTCGGCGAGGCTCAGCTGCGACATCCTGTACCACTATTGGCAGAAGAGCTTCGAGGAGCTGCAACGTGTGCCTCGGTGGCCATGGGAATCACTAGAAAGCGCCACGCCTCGACTGCTGAGGCTGTGGAAAAGCAGAGCTGCAAGAGTGTGCTGCTCATGTCTGATGCTTCTCCCAAAGGCAAGCTGGACGACTCTAAGCTGAATCTTACACGGGTGTGGAAACTTTTGTCCGACGCAGAAGCGAATAGAATCTGCCGTGAATTGAGGCCTGGTGTCCCCTTCTGTTTGCCGGCGACCTCGCCACGATAGCTCCCCTTCAGAGGATGTCGGCACTGCTGCCAAGCACTGTGAGCGACAAGGTGAAGATGCAGGAAGCCCAACGGGTTGCCGACGAGTTCGCAGCCCAGGCCCTAGAGAAGGACCCGAGCCGAAACAAGAAAGTGTAGCTTTGCTGCAACTTCGTGTCGAAAGAGGGCCTCCTTGCTGCCCCCCCTCTTACGCTTCATATGCAAGGCCGAAGGTCCTCGGCCTCATCAAGCAGCGACGTCTGGCTGCACGGGAGGAAGTGCAGGCGGTGATGCACACTCTCAGCCTGGCAGGCCTCGAACTCCGCAAGCCCGACAGGATACTGAGGCCCCCCGACCTCAAGAGTGGCGAGGTCCGCCTGACCGATGCATCTCTCGGACCGATGCTGTGGAACACGGAGACTGGGGCTGCACAGTGGGACGTCGTGTTACCGGAGGATTGCCAGGAACTGCGAGTGGTGCTGGCCCCCGACGAGGGCGGACCCCTCTGGGCTGGATTCCAATGGCTTGCCAAGCAGGGGTACCGCATCGGCTTTCTGCCGGATCTTCTGTCGCTTGTCTTACGCTTAACTCATTCCCTTGGATTGAGAGTGCATTGTCTTCCTTTCTTTCGTGCCAGGCAAACCATAGTCGCCTATGTGATAGACCAAGGCACAAGCTTCAGAATGCATACCAACGGCTGCTGAGAACCACTCCGAGTATGAAGAGAGACTTGGGTCGGGTTGTAATTTTGTCCTGCTTCAGACGGTGAGAAATCATAACGACTGCTGCTGTTCCCCGCAGCCCAAACTGTTAATTAGCATGGCATGCCACTGTTTCGGCTGTCTTTTTATCAGAAACCGCACATACCTTCCCGGACCGTCGGCCTTGTAATGTTCATCTCCGACTCAAAGCTACGCTTTTTGAGTTCAGTTCAGTTCAAGAAGACTCTCTTGGAGTGAAAGGCTGTTGTCACTTCGGGCGGAGATTCAGACCGGAACAGCAGACCGATGTGAAACACCTGCCTCAAACATATTTTGTCGTGTTGCTATTGTTGTCCGAGTGTTCTCTTGTGTACCGATCAATCGAAAAGAGGAAAGACACCGACCTGGGCCGGGAAGGCCACAGCCGAGAGAATATAGACGCAAGGCTTTGTGGTTGATGTTCTGATTCATGGGCTCCGGCCACATGCTCTGTGTCCAAATATGAATTAGGAGGGAGCGCCAAGTCGAGGAAGCTTTCGCAGGCTGTTTCTACCTGACCTAGACGATGCTTCATTCATTCATCGATTCGTTCGTTCATTCATTCATTCATTCATTCATTCATTCATACATTCATTCATTCATTCATTCAGACAATTCATTCATTCATGCATTAATTCATTCATTCAGTCAGTCAGTTCTAATTCATTCATTGCTGCATTGATTCACTCATGATCACTCATTCATGCATTCATTCGTTCGTTCATTCATTCTATGATTGATTCTATGACACAGTCATTCATTCCTTCGTTCATTCATTCATTCATTCATTCATTCATTCATTCATTCATTCGTTCATTCATTCATTCATTCATTCGTTCATTCATTACATTTTTTGTTCAGCAATTCATTCATTACAATCATTCATTCATTCATTCATTCATTCATTCGTTCACGCATTCATTCATTCATTTGTTCGTTCCAGATTCATATTGCATGTTCATTCATTCATTTTCCTTCATTCATTTTCATTCGTTCATTCATTCATTCCATTCATTTCATTCAGTTCATTCATAAATTTCATTCATTTCATTAATTCATTCATTCATTCATCCATTCATTCCGTCATTCATGAGGAATTAAACATGATCTCAATTTATTTATTCAATTGATTGAACTGACTTGATTGAATCGAATCGAATTGAATCAAATAAAATTATGAATGAATCAACGTCGGGCCTGGATTCCGGAGCAAGTCTTTAGAGGCAATGGATCGCTGTTGCTGTTTTTCCTTGGACAAGAAAATTCATGGTCTTTTGCTCCTACCCAAGCTTTTGGTTCAACCATGATGACATAATTATGACTACTGTGTTGTCCATGATTCAGCTATAGACAGAAGACGGCAGACTGAAGACCTGTGTCTGAGGAATGTACACGCTGACGTCTTGGCTGATGCGAGCCAAGCGAGCACCGTGGAAGACTTCAGCCGTGGGCCAATCATGGCGAGAGAGTGGCCAAAGGTACCTTCGAATCGCAGCTTGGTCGCAGTGCCCAGCCAGTCCCTGCTTTTGTCACGACAACGCACAATCCAGGCCAACGAGGACGATGCCCTCATGCAGCTCTTCGGCCCTGGCATTTTGAGAGAGTTCCTTGTCCTTGTCCTACTCTGATTGCGAGACTTGCCCTGCCAAATTTCACCCAGGAAGGCTTCTCCTGTTGTGCTATTGAGGAACGGATTCTCTGGCGATCTGGGAAGCCGGGAATCTTTCGAGAAGGTTTGCGAAATTGTTGGCAACGCCACGAAGCCCCTCGGCCAAGGCTAATCTGTCGTCAGTGTGGAAAGATACTCGGCACGACTTTTCGGACCCAGACCTCAGGTCCGTGGCTTCCCTCTTCGAACGAGGGAGGTGGATCAGTTGGGGGCACGCCGCCCACAAGTTCAAGAAGAACTACTCCTGCACTTTGTTGATGGTGTACTGGGGATGTATGGAAGAACCTTGTCTGAACTTGTTTTGTTCTGTCTATGCCGGGAAGTACGTCTGCTGCATCTGCATCCTAAGGAAGGAGTGAACCCGTTCGTTTTGGACCAAGGGAAAACAAAAGGCGACGGCGAGACTGAGAAGTACGACAGGGTCCTCGACCTTTGTATACGTGCCACTCAGCAAGCAGAAAGTTTGACTTGGACTAGCAGCTTGCAAGACCCTGTTGTCACTGCCAGCCACAAAAACACATGCCACACAAAGGCCCTGGTGGATGACTTTTCGCACGACCTTTTCCTCGTTATGGATTTTCACAGTGAGGTCTTTCGCGAGGTGTGCCTCCATCTCGCCTCTTGGCCTTTCTTAGAGACGTCCGAGTGTCTTTTTGTGGCTTTGTTTGGAGGTAGAGCATGGAAGAGCTTTGCATATGACTGCCAACCAACTAAGCAAGCGAACAAATCGCTGCTCAACTCGCTCCACACGCACACCTGCTGGTGCCTTCGCGAGCTGGAGCTGCAGCTGTCGAGACACGTCAAAGCGGCACTGGGGCCGGACTGCCTGTCACTCCTCGACTTGACGCCGGACGTGCAGCTGGAGACAGATGGCTTGTTGGTCGCGACTCGCCGGCATCCGTAGTGTCTAAGAGCCTAGCAGCCATCTCCCGCAAAGACAGCAGGAAGGCAATCACGATTTTGGGTGCACGACCTGATCTAGAATCTACTAGATCGAAGCGAATACGTCTTTCGATTACTCATGCATGATTACCGGCGGAAAGCCTTCCTGTCAGAAACGGACCTCCAGGGGCGGTGCTCACAGACGCCCGGTCTGGGAAGTCTCTTCTGTCTGTCTCTAGACGAATAACTACAGAGAGGAGGCTCGTCCCCTCCCGTCGCAGCAGCTAAAATCACCACTGCCTCTGTCATAGTATCGTAGCTCGACGGCCCGAGCCAGTAATCTGTAATTTTGTGTAAGTCTCGAGCAGTGACTGCAAAGAAGCTAATCTCCCTCTCACAGAAGGAAAGCTTGGAGACTGCTTCTCCAAGCTGAAGTTGCGAGACCCAACTAAGAAAAAGGGTGCTTGCTGGGCATTGATCCCTTCAATCAATCGAATAGCAAGCCTGCACCGATTCCATGGCACGGAGTAGCTCTCAACAGCACAGACCTCCATGCTGGCCGAGACAAAGGCCGAGACAAAGAGACCAATCTCTTACTCTTTAATAATTTAAGACTGAGACAGAGACAGAGCCAGAGACGAGCTTACTAGGAGAAGTGGCAGCCTGAGACAGGTTTGTTGAGAAGGGAGACAGACTCAGAACTATGTGGTCTCAGTGACCGTTCCTAGCCAGGTGACCGAGGTCTGACTGTACTTCGTAGCCAAGACTATGTGCACTCCAGCACATCTTTAAGCTGCTGCTTGAGCGGCTACTCCGCTGGACAGTCTTCTGTGTATGAGACTAAGTCACTGAAAGAAGCCGAGACTTCGGATTATCCGCAATGATCTCATCGACTTGAGCCGATCTATATCTAAAGACAAGAATAGTCTGAGTGAGTCACATCTGAGTCTGAGAATCTCCGGAGACGTCAATAAGACTTGCTTCTGAGACTGGCTCCTTGAGGAGCAGACTTCTCTCGATGTCAATGATTCAATGATTGCCTTTGTGTGCCAGGTTGTTGTTCTTTCTCAGCTTGCATCCACATAACTGAGGTGCCGGTTCGCCGAAACGTCACCAAACAGGTGCTGCTCCTGGAACACATGGAGACGACACTCAGCCTTCTCTTCGAAATGGAGGACTACCGGAGGCACATGCTTCGAGCGCCGCATTGCACGGCAGCTTTGCTGGCCCCGGGGTCGGAACCGGTTCAGAAGGATCTCCTGGCAGCTTTGAAGCTGGAGTGGGACATGGTCGTCCGCATGGAGTCCCAGACTTCTACAGCAAGTCTGCTTCATGGCTTGTGCCCATATACCCGCTTCCAGAACTACAGAGAGGTGATGACAAGCTTGAACCAAGCCGGGTTCGAGCTCGACAAAACCTCTCGGGATATGATTTTGGCATGGCATCCTTCTCTATCCCAATCCTCGAACATAGAGGACATCTTCAACAGTTGCGAGGATGCCTGCCGCAGGACCAAATCCGGGGCGGCAAGCATGCCAAATCTTTCTACCGTGGCGATGCGAGGTGTCATGAAGAAGGTTTGCAACTCCGAAGGTCAGGCCCGCACGGCTTCGAAGGTCCGGAAGTGCAGGGGCTGAAACCCAAGCTCTTCACGCCAGACAGCTTCGCTGGTGGACTCACGGAAGGCACTATCACAACTGGTGTCTTCTTTAAGGTCTGTCTCTGGTGCTTGGGAGGGAATCAGAAATGAAATCATAAACCAGTCTCCATGAGTGGATAATGTGTGTAGATGTATAAGAGAGTCTTTGCGACCTAGGGTGTGGACTCTAGGCTCTGCTTCGGCTAATGAAACATTGTCTCAGCTCCGGCCTCCTCAGTCCTGTCATTTGCATATGACTCAAATCATTGGACAGGCGGGCAGGGGCACAACAAGAGAATCATACCACAAGTGTTTCTGTGCTCTCCTGAACCATCACTTGCCCGATTTGCATATACTGAGGAAAGGACATGGGCCTGGATGACATCTTGAAGGACAACACGGGCAAGACTGCCTTCAACCACAACAGACTTTGCCTCAACAACATGGCCGGCCTGGTGCTGGCCGAGAAGCTCCTGGTCTGAATGTATAAACCACAGAGAGACTGGCTTTTTTGCTTGCTTTTGAAGCAGAAGCTAATTTGCATGGTCAAACTAAGGAGAGGCATGGACGTGGAAGCCGCTGCGAGATCCTTTTGGGTTCCGCCGCTTTGCCTACGTGGCATGTTGTTCAGCTTGGACAAGGGTGGAAAGTACTTTCTTTCCACCGGCTCCACGCCGGCTGTCTGCTATGTGTTCTGTCAGCAAGACATAAAGTTAAGACGTGCTAGAGTTCATGTTGTCATGAAATTGTGAGTGGATGACTGTGCTGAGCCCAAGCCATGCTGTTGAACAACAAAGGCTCTGCCATTGGAAGAGCTGGAGATGCACTTCTGTGGACCATTGCCACCCGACTCCGTGAATGAGCAGGAGGTGCCTTCGGAAACGTGCCGTGAGCTCAATGATCCTTTGGCAGCCGGGCAGAAGGTCAAGGCTCTGAAGGTTCATGTGGGCACGACACTCACCTGCATATGGGTGGAGCAGACAAAGTCTGTGTAGAGATAGTTTTCTAAGGTAATATGTAATGTAAGTCCCCTTGTCTCATCGGTAGAGAGATGCACCAGGAATCCTGTGGAGCTGTTGCTGGTCAAGTTCTGGCAGGCTGGCTAAATACGCAGAGTTTCAGTCTTCCCTGTTTACTCTTGCTCCTCCCCAGTGCCATCTGTCATTTTGCAGTGCAGGTGCAGACTTTCGAGTACTCGGTGCACCTCGGGCAGGAGGGCTATCTTCTGCGAAGGAGCCTGGATCCCGTGCCATTGCTGGCAGGGCTGATCATCTCAACAGGGATTCTTCAGCTGACTTCGGATGCTCTTTCTCGAATCTTGGATGAGTCGCAGTGCAAGCTCCGAAAGAATGCCACGAAGACCCAGAAGATCCGTGCCATCTGCTCCCTGGATATCGTGATGCAGCATGTGAAGAAGGCCTGCATTTCGAAGGTCCTGGCCCTCTGCGACAAGCTGGATGAGAAACGTGTGCAGAAGACTGCGGGCCAGGACACAGAGGAGGATGACGAGGAAGACGAAGATGTCGCTACTCGTCTACTCTGGACTCTAGATTGAGTGCGATGATTGATTCATTGATGGATGCCCCTGAAGTTCACGACTGTAGTCACTGTAGTCTTTGAAACTAGTAGTGGAAGATGGACTGAGGTGGTGATTTTTTGGTTCTGACCTGTTATCTGAAGATCAGGTGAGCGATCCCTTGGAAGCCCAAGATCCTGCCTACTGGGCTGCTGTGGAACTTCTGCATGCCATGGAGAAGGACAAGACGTGCATGCTTACTTCATTCAATATTTTTTACTCAGTGATTTCCGATCTTCCTTTGACCGGACTTGTGGATTTGGGGACTTAGCATATTCGTGGCTGTCTGGGATGATTTTTTCTACTTGGCAGGAAGAGAAGTCTCACGAGCAGATCCTGGAGCCTTCTTCTGCCCAAGCTGTGCCTTTGGCAGCATTCATACTAAGAAACGGGCTAGGCAAGTCTCCTCCGTCTTCAAACAGCAAAACAGCAATCAACAACTTCATTGAGACATGAAGTAAATAAAGGAAGCGGTGCCTGCGGCGAGCGAAGACAAAGCCAGCCGTCAGAAGGCCGAGAACGGCCGCAAGCTGCTGGTTTCGACGTCGACTGTGCCGGAGTTCCTGGTGGCTAAGTA